CTTGGTACTTTTATTTAATAGATTTCTCTTGAGTACATTTTGGCTTTGCACTTTTATTAAAACCTAAAGAATTAATTAACAGTATGCATCAACTCTGGCAAAATGTCAAACCCTTATTAACATTACATAAATACATTTCAAAAACATTAAGAAAATCATATTGCCTAAAATAATCAAAAACTAACATCACTGAAGTTGAAAACAAAATTTTAAAGGCAATAAATTATGCATTTTTCTTTTCATTCCTAAAGAACTGCTTAAGTTTGTAACCTTAAAATATAAAAAAAAAAAGTGTACAAAATGAACACAGCATGCAAACAGTTTCTAAGACTTTTAAGACCTAATACTCAGGCTAGAGAGCCAAACTTCTAACTCAGTGTTAATGGGACTGATCCAGCCTCTGGGCCTTCTGTTAAGTAGAAACAGCAAGCTAAGAGTTACTGAGACCCCCTTAGCAGATAAGTCCACTAAAGTGGTAGAGACCAATGACTGTGAATGGGGCCTCTACGCACATGCCTGAGGCATTACACCTGCCAAGGAGGAGGAACTACAGAAACTCTTCCACATGTTTCCAATTCAGTGGGTGGAAAAACAGCAAAAGCAGATTTCAAAAATATACAATTTCAATAGTGATCTCAGGTCTCCTGCTGCCTAGAAGTTTGGACACATTTTCATTGTTGAGAAGATATACTTAGATTGTTCCAAATAACAGCCACTCTTCAGAGTGTCAAACAGCTCAAAACTGGGAGGGAATACTTGCAGATCAAACACGAAGAAACAATCCGTGGCTGAAATCATAAAGTGTATTATTTTAGATGAGACTTTGCTCAAAAAAGAACCTACAAGTGGGCTTTTAAGACAGAAAGGAAACAAAAAAGGACAAAATCGATATAAAAGCAAATCTAGTTTGTGGCTTTTTCTTTAGGCAAACAGTTTTCATTTAGCTCCCCTGAGGCATCTGGGGGAGGAGAGTTGTCCAGTGGAGACAGCAGACACCTCTTCAGGCTTCCCTTCCAATTCTGAGCCCTCTACAATGCTAAAGACTTAAGAGGCTGGGACCCTTAGGGACAGGCAGGAGGCACAAGGACATCAGAAATGAAAACAGTTAAAATGTTCCTGCAGGAAGCAGTATAGGTGTTATTCAAATTAAGGAATTTTAACTTAAAAGCATGTATAGTTACAAAACAGATTTAATGTGTGCACATCTCCAGTTAGCCCCTTGGCTTAGCAAAAGCATGACAGGATAAGTAAGAACAACCTCTGGCTCTGAAACTCCTGTGTCAGAGGGAAGACAACTCTTATGGTCCCTAGTTCAGGAGCTTCTAACTGCTTCACATGTGATAAAACTTCCATTAGTCAAATACAACTAATGAGACTTTGGCTCTTCACTTCTCTCAAGGAAGGAAAGATGGAAAAAGGAAAGGAGGGGTGGAGGAAGGAAGGGAAGAGGAAGAGGATGGAGAAGAGAAAGGAGTTACACACATAGACACACATTCCCAAACAAAAACCCATCTGGATTTCCCCTCAAAACCCAACTTTCAGGTATTGGTATTAGTAACATCTAGTGCAATCAATGCTAGTCTTTACATTTACACCTTCAGTCACAATTGATGTCCCTTTATCCCAAAATATTTTAAGATTCTAAACAATCAAATACTAAAAAGAAAATGAACTAAAACTCTTAAGTTATATCTAAACATTCTATTCTTGGACAAAGCTTAAACTGAAGGTTTAAGTGATAGAAGGAGACAGATATACCAGATAGCCAGCAAAGCCAGAATTGGTTCTACAGTCTCAGTGCAAAGTGACTACTGGAAACATTACTGCATTAATTTTTTTCTTACATTCTAATAAAGAAGAAAGTAGACAACGAAAAATAAACAGATGGTTTTAGCCTGCCTCTTAATAGCTCCCAGGCTATTTTCTATTGAGACATATTTTTAACTACCTTTAGCAAAAAAATCTAGCCTAGCAAGTAAAACTGGATATTCTTCTATTTACTAGATTTTTTTTCAAAAAGATTTACTTATTTGCAAAGGCAGAGTGATAGATAAAAAGGAAGAGAGAGACACCTCCAAACTGCTGGCTGACTCCCCAAATGTCCACAGCAGCCAAGGCTGAGCCAGATCAAAGCCAGGAGCCAAGAACTCCATCAGGGTCTCCCACATTGGTGGCAGGGACACAAGCATGTGGGCCATCATCTGTTGCCTCCCAGGCACATTAGCAGGAAAATGGATTAGAAGCAGAAGAGGCCAGTGCCGTGGCTCAATAGGCTAATCCTCTGCCTGTGGTGCAAGCACACTGGGTTCTAGTCCCAATCGGGGTGCCGGATTCTGTCCTGGTTGCCCCTCTTCCAGGCCAGCTCTCTGCTGTGGCCCGGGAGTGCAGTGGAGGATGGCCCAAGTCCTTGGGCCCTGCACCCCATGGGATACCAGGAGAAGCACCTGGCTCCTGGCTCCTGGCTCCTGCCTTCAGATAGCGCCGGCCGCGGCAGCCACTGGAGGGTGAACCAACGGCAAAGGAAGACCTTTCTCTCTCTCTCTCTCTCACTGTCCACTCTGCCAGTCAAAAAAAAAAAAAAAAAGAAGAAGAAGAAGAAGAAGAAGCAGAAGAGCCAGGACTCAATCCCAGGTACTCTCATGTGCAATGTAGGTGTCCCAGGCACTGACTTCTAGCTGTGCACTACAATACCCACTGCTGACAGATTCTTTCCAACAGCAACAAGAGGGACAGCAAGACAGTTCTCAGCAACTAATAGCTGAACCCAAATGAAGGTTTCAAGCATTTTTATGATTCCCAAAGGCCACAGAGCATCACACATCTTTTCACTGCAGGTCTAGGCACGAAATGCTATAGTGAATGCACCTGGAGAGCAGGAAGTTAATTTCTCTCCCTCTGCTTACTCATTTACATAAAAAATAGTAAACATAAGATACTTTATGTGAGCTAGGTTCTGTGGGGCAAGGTGAGCATTTAATAAGTAACACAGAAACTAAAAGGCATTTCAGGGACCCACCTGTGGTACGGCAGGTTAAGTCACTGACAAGCAATGCTTGCATCCACATTGGAGCAATGGCTGGAGTCCCAGCTGTTCCACTTCTGATCCAGCTCCCTGCAAATGTGCCTGGGCAATCAGTGGAAGGTGGCCCAAGTGGTTGGGCCCCTGCCACCCACGTGGGAGACTAGATGGAATTCTAGGACCCTGGCTTCAACCTGGCCCAGTCCCACCCTTTGTGGTCTTCTAGGGAGTGAACCAGCAAATGGAAGATCTCTCCCTCTGTCTCTGTTCCTCTGCCTTTCAAATAAATAAATGAATGAATGAATGAAATAATGACTAATTTTTTTTAAAAAATTAGCCAGAATATAAAAAAGAATTGAGCTCCAATCACAGTGATCTCCTAATTTGTGGGGCCAGCACTGTGGCTTAACAGGTTAAGCCGCTGCCTGCAGTGCCAGCATCCCATATGGGCGCCAGTTTGAGTCCCAGCTGCTCCACTTCCGATCCAGCTCCCTGCTAAAGTGCCTGGGAAAGCAGAGGAAGATGGCCCAGGTACTTGGGTCCCTGCACCTACATGGGAGACCTGGATGAAGCTCCTGGCTCCGGCCTGGCATTCCTCTGGGTCTCCTACATGGGTGGCAGGGGCCAAAGTACTTGAGCCATCTTCCGATTCCAAGTGGAGCAGCTGGGACTCAAACCAGCACTCATATAGGATACCAGCATCACAGGCTTAACCTGCTGTGCCACAATGTCAGCCTCCATCTTTAGTTTTACTTCAATGCCATACCTTCAAATCTTAGAACAGTGCCATCAGTACGTGTTGAATAAATAAAACTATAGAAAAATAAGAACATATTGAGAGGCTGATGCCGTGCCGCAGTGGTTAACGCCCTGGCCTGGCCTGGGAAAGCAGAAGATGGCTCAAGTACTTGGGCCCCTTGCACCCATGTGGGAGACCTGGATCGGCACAGCTCCAGCCGTTGCAACCATCTGGGGAGTGAACCAGCGGATGGAAGACCTCTTTCTCTGTCTCTACCTTCTAGGTAACTCTGCCTTTCAAATAAATAAAATAAATCTTAAAAAAAAAAAAAAAAAAGAACATATTGAAATGTCTCATTCAGAACTGTGAGTCTACAACCATTCTGAATTTTATTCCAGAAGATCACATTTGAGTTGTGGAAGTAACGTAATCATCACCAAGGAAAAGATGAGTTAGTAAGAAGTAAATGTTTGAACAGAAGACAACAAATTAAGTTATTCTGGCGTACTCGATACAAAAGCAGATGACTGTCACAAAAGTGTAGTTTTCTTTCTAAATCAACGTCTGGGAAACAACAGCAATTCATACATGCGGTCTTCATTCTAGTGACTTGGTTTGATGCATACTTGTTATTACATTATTACTCTGGAAATTCACTCTAAAACCTCTGCAAGAAATCTGGCTGGATGCAACTCAGACTGCCTACAAAGAATTAGATTTAAACAAACAAAATAAATTCTATCTGAAGTTTTAATTAATTTAAATGAATACTAACTCTTGATTTAAATAAAGAGTTCTTCTAGTACCTTAGGTTATTTTATAGTAAACACATTAGCAGTAAGTATCAAATCTAAATTTTACCAACAAAATCTGTATTTACGATAAATGAGAAACCAATACAATTAACCATTTTTTTCTTTCCCTTTTTCCTATATCTTGAATACCAGGAATTTATTATAAGCAAATAAAAATAATCAAGGCTATTACCACAGAGAAGCATAATAAACAGTAGTCTTAGTGTCACATGTTTTTAAAATTCTTCCCTTTAATCATGTCCATTCATTTATTTGACAAATATTTACCCAGCACCTACTATAATGTTCCAACCACCTTGCTAGTGATTAGAAGAAAGAAGTTACCACAAACACTCATACTTAAAGAGATAAAAACTGAAACAGATCTCCTGGGCTTCCAGTAAACGAGAAGATTACAAAATCTTTCAAAAAAAATGTTTCAACTTACATTGTGTTCTTCTGGCTCTAATTTGGGGATTTTGTGTGATCTGCGCTCCTCAGATCTGGATGAGTCATGCTTGCTGCTTTTTTTCCTTTTCTCTTTTCTGCTTTCGTGCTTGGACTTTGTGTGCTCACTTGCCTGTACTTCATTTAAAAGGTCTCCACAAAGGGAAGACTCAAACAATTCCCTGCCATTCTGGATAGTTTTGGTTATTTTCAGTTTAATTTCAGGTGAGCCAGTCTTCTTTGGAATCACAGTTTGTGGTACCGAAGGAGGAGGTGGTGGCTGTGGAGGAGAAGGCTTGTCCAGAACCTCATGTGGTCTTGTGTTTGGAATTTCGGAATGGTAATAGTCAGTGGGGCTAAAGTTTCTAACTGCACCAAAGCCATTGGCTGACCCATTGGGATACTGATTATACGACTGGTATTTGGTTTGAGTTTCATACATGTTGATTGATGGTGGATAGCCATTTGTGAGTGGAGGAAGATCTTCTGTTGTGGGTGGGTACTGAAAACCTTGCTGCAAGGTAGCTTCATACGGTGTCTGGCCACCATCTTCAACAATGTCACTGCTGTTGTCAAAGGCATCCTCCTGACGGATGTTGGCGGAGTCAATGAGTTGAGGTGGTTGCTGAATTGTGTTTCCCATGATCCCTTGCATGAAAGAGAAAGAGAAATCCATTGTTCTGCTCCAGCATCCTTAACTTTCCCTTTCTCTCATCGGGCCTAAAATAACAAAAGAAGGGATTAAAAGATGTTAATATCCCAATAGATAAGAGACTAATCAACTGAAAAAGAAATAAGCCAAAATGTTTTAAACCCAATTTTTGGATCCAGCCATGCACAAACATTAAATATTTCTATAACAGCCAATGTAATTTTGACCCAGGGAAAACACTTTTTAATCTTAAATGGTTATCTGTGTAGAACTCCTGACTACTTTCATGACTGGCACCAAATTTTTATCTTTTTTGCAAATAAGAAAAATGGTTTTGACATTTCTGTTTCTCAAATTAGATTATAAATTTCAAGTTAAAGCCAGTATTTACAAAATAAGCAGTGTCCTGACACATTTAAATACATTTACATCTGAGCTTCCTTTAAAATCATTCACGTTGGGGCTGGTGCTGTGGCATAGTAGGTAAAACTGCCATCTACAGTGTCGGCATCCCATATGGATGCCGGTTCAAGTCCTGGCTGCTCCTCTTCCGATCCAGCTCCATGCTATGGCCTAAGTCCCTGGGACCCTGCACCCACACAGGAGACCTAGAAGAAGCTCCTGACTTCTGGCTTCAGATCAGTGCAGCTCTGGCCATTGCAGCCATCTGGGGAGTGAACCAACGAATGAAGACCTCTCTCTCTTTCTTCCTTTCTTTCTCTGTCTCTGCCTCTCTGTAACTCTGCCTTTCAAATAAATAAATCTTTTTTTAAAAATCATTCATGTTTTGTCCAGTGGTTCTTTTTGTTATTATGGAAATAAAGTCTTATTGCAAATATTTTATTTATTTATTTTTATTTTATTTGAAAGTCAGAGGTACACAGAGAGAGAAGGAGATTCTTCTATCTGCTGATTCACTCCCCAGATGGCTGCATCGGCCAGAGTCGTGCCAATCTGAAGCCAGGAGCCAGGAGCTTCTTCTGGGTCTCCCACTGGGGTGCAGGGGTCCAAGTACTTGGGCCATCTTCTACTGTTTTCCCTGGGCCATAGCAGAGAGCTGGATTGGAAGAGGAGCAGCCGGGACTAGAACTGGCACCCATATGGGATGCTGGTGCTTCAGGCCAGGGCGTTAACCTGCTGCGCCACAGTGCCAGCCCTCCAAATATTTTAAACATAAAAGTAAGAAAGCCTGCTCTTTCCTCCTGACCCATCATTCTCATTCCTCTATGCCACAGGCAGCCATTGTAGACACTGTGCTGGGCATTCTCCCAGGAACCAACAGCTAGGAGCCAAGAGCCTCCTCCAGGTCTCCCACGTGGGTGCAGGGGCCCAGACACTTTGGATATCCTCCACTGCCTTCCCAGGCCACCAGTTTTTCGAAGTGGAGCAGCTGGGACACGAACAGGCGCCCAAATGGGATGCCAGTGCTACAGGCGGAGGCCTAACTTACTAAGCCACAATGCCAGCCCCTCTCTATACTCTTGCCAGTATTTAGTTGTTTTTAACAAGTGACATACAAGTACACAGCAGAGTCTTCTGGGATACTTTTACAAAATGTACCTATTAGAGTCTTTCCCCTGAACATTCTGACTCAATAAATGTGGTGTGGGTCCCAGAGCATGAATATTTTAAGACCATAGCCCAGCTGATTCTGACACACACTTTGGTTGGAGTACTGCATTATTAAACTTTGCATTACAAGAACAATTATACTCAGAATTATTGTACCTCCTCCAAAAGGTGTCTAAAGAACTGACATTATGTAACAATGCTGTAATATAGATAAGCCTTTGTTAGGCAAGGCTATAAGACCACTCTGCTTTGTCATAAGGTTCGACATGTCAACATCTCAACGCAGATTAGCAAACAGTCCATAAATTATCTCGACAGTCTCATGAACATTTTTTCTAGAAAATGGACAAACAGGTTTTCACTAATGAGTTGAACTAGCTGCAGCTGCCTGGAATACTATGAGGAAGGATTCTGAGGCTACATTCCAGTTCAATTTTATACTGATTAATATCTACCATTTAGATACTAGTGGGATTTACCACAAGGATAAAGCTAGTAACCCAAAAAAGCAAAGAGAAAAAGGAAATAGAAGCTAAGGATACACTTTTCAAAGTGTATCCAATTATACAACTGCTGTTTATTCTGATGTTAGCTAACAGAAATGATTTCAGAAGTTCTAAAACTGCTAACAAGTGAATAAGAGAGCACACAAGAAATCAAACTGCCTATATTGTTCTCTCCATAAGGGATCCGGGGGGCGGCGAGAATTAAAAGCAAGCTCAATTTTTGAAGATTTATTTACTTGAAAGGCAGAATGACCAAAAGAGAAGAGAGAGAAAAAGAAAGGAGAGGTCTTCCATCTGCTGGTTTACTCTCCAAATGGCCACAACAGCCAGGAGCCAGGAACTTCATCCGGGTCTCCCATGTGGGTGGCAGGACCCAGGTACTTGCATCATCACCTGCTGCCTCCCAAGGTGCACATCAGCAGGAAACTGGATTGGAAGTAGAGGCAGGACTTATCCTAGGCATTGTAGGGATGCAGGTATCCCAAGCAGTGGCTTAATCTGCTGTCACCTGCTCCCTCATTTTAGTTTGATATAAGTAATGAGGTAACATTACCATCTTAGAATTATGAAAAAACTTATAATCAGAGCATTTCTATATGCAGCCCACCTGATGCTCAAAACAACTCTGTAAACCTGACAGGACACAATGTGTTAGCTTCATTCTTTAGAGAACTACATTGACTCTTGAGACTAAGAAACTAACTATAAAGCTAACTAATTGAGTAAGCCTAAAAAGGAGTCAATCACCTGATGTCCAATCCTGTGCTCTTTTCCACAATATGTCATTGCCAGAATAATACCTTATGACAACTATACTGTAACTTGAGAAGTCATATGTTCAAACCTGAATGTGCTGTCTGTTCCCTAACTGAACTTTCCCTTTAGACTACCCCAGACTTATCACTGCTTCCACTATTTTTCTGGCTTCCCTGGCTAGAAATTTTAAGCTCATGGGTGACTAATATTTCTCCCTTTATTACGTTAACATGACACTGAGCAAATCTTGTAGTTTTTTCCTTTGAAATCTCTCTGGTTTGCTCTTTAAGCTTGTATCCCCAATATCAAGATCTAGACCAGGCCCTCAGCACCTATCCCAAACTATGGACAACTGATTTTTTTTTATTATTATTATTTCCTGTTTCTAACTTCTTCCTGCACAGGAATTAGATGATGCTTCTTAAAAGACGAAGTTCAGCACTGCTCAATAGGCTAATCCTCCGCCTAGCGGCACCGGCACACCGGGTTCTAGTCCCAGTCGGGGCGCCGGATTCTGTCCCGGTTGCCCCTCTTCCAGGCCAGCTCTCTGCTATGGCCCGGGAAGGCAGTGGAGGATGGCCCAAGTGCTTGGACCCTGCACCCCATGGGAGACCAGGAGAAGCACCTGGCTCCTGGCTCCTGCCTTCGGATAGGTGCGGTGCGTCGGCCGCTGCGGCCATTGGAGGGTGAAACAACGGCAAAAGAAAGACCTTTCTCTCTCTCTCTCTCTCTCTCACTGTCCACTCAGCCTGTAAAAAAAAAAAAAAAAAAAAGACGAACTTCAGGGGCTGGTGCAGTGGGCTAAAACCTACACCTACAGCATGGGCACCAGATCGTATCCTGGCTGCTCCTCTTCTGATCCAGCTCTCTGCTATTCCTGGGAGGGCAGTAGAAGGCAGTTCAAGTACCTGGGCCCCTGCATGCACATGGGAGACCCAGAGGAAGCTCCTAGCTCCTGGCTCCAGAATGGTCCAGCTCCTACCATTGTGGTCATTTGAGGAGTGAACAAGCAGATGGAAGACCTTTCTGTCTCTCAAATAAATAAATCTTAAAAACAAACTTCAATAAGTGTATTCCCATACTAGGAAACTCTTAATGCTCTGTATTAAACCAAACCCCTCCAAGTCTTTCAAGATTCCCACAGGCTTCCTTTTTCCTGAATGTGTGCATGGATGCCCTTTTCTGGGAGTCCACTGGAGTCACTTCTTTATATCACACGGTTTAATGCTATGCAGTAAATTATTATTCCCGTTTTACAGATGAGACACAATAGAGCTTAAAGAGACCAAAGTGGAATAAAATGTAAAACTTGGACCAAATCCAATACAATGCTCTTTACATGACAGTTCCCTGCCATTTTCCCCCCAATCACATTTGCCACCTTCCCCGATCCATACCATACCCATGATCCAAATGTCTATTTGGTTTGATGGCACCTCTTAACTCTTCAAATATCTAACAATGAATGCTTAGTTTTTATTCTACTTAACTGTATCATCCCACCAGTCTTTCCCATCAATTAATCAAACCAAACTACCCCTGTCGTTCAAGCAGAAACCTGGGAATCATGGCACATCCCTTTCCCTCAGTCTCACGCTTATCCAACCCATCAGCATATTGCCTGAGTTTTATCTCCTAAGTATATCCTCACATTTGTCTATTTCCATCTCTTTTGTTCTTCACACTAGTCTGACACGATGAAATCTTACCTACCGTATTCCATAGTTAGGTTCTGTCTCCATGCTGCATCTCCTGCCTCTCTAGTCTACTTCCTCGTATGATATCCAGTCACCTTTTGAAAACAAAGCCAATCAGAGAACTATCCTCCTCAAAATACAGCAAGGAAAGTGAACGTTCAACACACCTTCATGAATGACCCTCATGAATATCGTTTTGAGTGAAAGAAGCCAGATACAACAATTACATTTATATATATTTATATATATACACACACACACAATGTGATTTCATTTCTATAAGGTTCACAAACAGGGTAAGTTAAGACTAAATCTATGGTGAAAGCTGGCAGACAGTACTTGCCTACTGAGGGCACAGGAGGACGGAAAACACCGGAGGGAATGCTGATTACATTCAATTTATTGATCTAGATGGTAGTTACATAGCTTACTAAGGCAAGCCAAAACAAAAGAACAAAACCTTTAATGCCTTCCTACTGTATGCAAATAAAATCCAAACTACTTATCATGTCCAGCAAGCCCCTATGTGGTCAGAGC